TTTCAGAAAGCGGATTGATATAACATTGTGTGCTAATAAAAATCAAGAAATTCAAGGTATATAAGTATTAAATTTTTTACCTGATGCAGAAGAAAAACTCAAATGTTTGAACAATTTATCGTTTTTGTCCTCACAAACTATGTCAGTGCTATTTCATTCCATCCATTGTAATGGTCATTCCCTATGTTATATACTCACTTCATTATAAAAAGTGAATTCTTATTTAGTTTTGAATATTACAATGGGAAAGGATAATTTTGTAAGGTCACTCGAAAGTGTGAATATGCTCTAAATTGGTCAGACAATACTTGGTCATGTTTTATGAAGATTTAAAGCACTCGGCTACGCCTTGGGCTTTAAATCTTCATAAAACATGACCAAATATTGTCTAACCTATAAATAAAAATGGGCACGGGTGGGCGGGTTAAAAAATGTTCTCAAAACTATCAAAAATTGTTGATCGACGCTTCAACTCAAATTTCAAAAATAATATATAATAAGAACTAAGTGTTTACCGTGTGAAAACAAATCTTGGAGTGAAGTAAAAAGGTATGTAATTAAACAGGTAAACGAAAGTGATTAGAATTCAACTAATAATCCAATAAGAAAAGTTATGACAAAATCAGGATGACGAAAAGAATGTAGCATTTAAATAAATAAATTCGTTAGGAACAGAAAAATAATAAAATTCTAGCAAAAATATCAATTTCTCTCTCAGTAATTAATCATTTTTAATAAAATAAAAATTTCCAAATTACTATCAAAAACATGAAACAACCAATACAATAAAAACGTTTATAAGGCTAATGAAATGGATTCACACAACACAATAGTTCAATACTATTCAATAAACAAATTTAAGAATAACCAATATAGAAATTCAAAAATTATTAATACATAAAATTAACCCTAAAACCAGTAGAGAAAATAACGAAATACCCATACTTAGAACATACTCACCCCTTCTCGTCCAATGAAAAGTCAGTTTTTTCCCTTCTAATTTTCATAGTACATGGCTTTCCATGCACTATAAAATGCTTTACATGAATGACTTTTCATTGTAGATTAATTATGAAAGTGAACTCTTAATAACTTCACCAACGAAGTGTACAATCCCCTGAGGCATTTTCCTTGGAAAAATAGCCTACTAGCCTACTGATTAAAGATGAAAGAGAAAAGAATTATAAAAAAACATTTTGAACATTGGAAATCTTTATATTAATGGTACATATATACAACAAACAAAAAATAAAATAAAATGGGGGCTAAGAGGTAGGTAAAATTATCTTTTATACAATTTTTATACCAGACATTCGAGTCGATTATTTTTTTTCTTCAAGAAAACAATTTCAGACTGCTGATATATAAAGCAAAGGATTTTTTCGAGAAAAGAAACCCACAATACATGTACATTCATCAATAAAAAGTAAGCATCTGATGTTGAATGGTCGTAATTCAAATATTTATAGAGTAAGTTTTATAATTATCAAAAAATATTCAAATTTCAGAAAGCGGATTGATATAACATTGTGTGCTAATAAAAATCAAGAAATTCAAGGTATATAAGTATTAAATTTTTTACCTGATGCAGAAGAAAAACTCAAATGTTTGAACAATTTATCGTTTTTGTCCTCACAAACTATGTCAGTGCTATTTCATTCCATCCATTGTAATGGTCATTCCCTATGTTATATACTCACTTCATTATAAAAAGTGAATTCTTATTTAGTTTTGAATATTACAATGGGAAAGGATAATTTTGTAAGGTCACTCGAAAGTGTGAATATGCTCTAAATTGGTCAGACAATACTTGGTCATGTTTTATGAAGATTTAAAGCACTCGGCTACGCCTTGGGCTTTAAATCTTCATAAAACATGACCAAATATTGTCTAACCTATAAATAAAAATGGGCACGGGTGGGCGGGTTAAAAAATGTTCTCAAAACTATCAAAAATTGTTGATCGACGCTTCAACTCAAATTTCAAAAATAATATATAATAAGAACTAAGTGTTTACCGTGTGAAAACAAATCTTGGAGTGAAGTAAAAAGGTATGTAATTTAACAGGTAAACGAAAGTGAGTAGAATTCAACTAATAATCCAATAAGAAAAGTTATGACAAAATCAGGATGACGAAAAGAATGTAGCATTTAAATAAATAAATTCGTTAGAAACAGAAAAATAATAAAATTCTAGCAAAAATATAAATTTCTTTCTCAGTAATTAATCATTTTTAATAAAATAAAAATTTCCAAATTACTATCAAAAACATGAAACAACCAATACAATAAAAACGTCTATTAGGCTGATGAAATGGATTCACACAATACAATAGTTCAATACTATTCAATAAACAAATTTAAGAATAACCAATATAGAAATTCAAAAATTGTTAATACATAAAATTAACCCGCCATACCGAAGGTCAGCCAAAAAGCAGTCAGTGTAAAAAGAAAATTGAACCAAGAGTACACTCTTAATTTTAATATAAACAGAATCTGCTAACAGATAAGCCTCCCTAGCGTCAAAAAAGATACAAATTAGAGATAAGCTAAAGTCAGCCTTATGAAAAATTAAATGAGAGAAATCTGCTACAAAAACTCTCCCCCTGCATAAAAGGGGTCAGAAATAAATGAAGCCTTTCTCGTAAAGAGTGTTCCCTCAACTCAAATGAGCCAAAGTATTGGCTATAAAATGAAAAAATTTTTGAATTCCAGCATGATTCAAATGCAATAGGTCAGTTTTGTGAAATAAAGGGTATATAGGTCTATGAAATCTGTCATAGAAAGAATTACAAGCGGACATATAGCTAACCTTCACCCATCCTGTTTGAGAAAAATCAAAAAATTGTGAATTAAAATCCTGAACTAGGCGGTCAGACATTTTAAAATCTACTGGCCTAGGTAAAATGGAAGATAAAATAATTCTACAGGAGGCGTTTACACTCCTAATTTCCTGAATAAATAAATTAATATTAATCCTATATTGATCACTTGTTATTGCAAAAATATCATTAGTGCCAACATGAATTATAGCATTACAAAATTCATTAATATTAATATAGCCATGTCTAATTTTCCAAAGCAAACGTTCACTTGTTATGCCACCAAACGCTTGTATCTCTGTATTCTTTAAATCAGGAAAGTATTTAAAAAACGAATCACTTAATATCAAAGTGCTTCTGCACCAAGCTTTGCCTCCTAAGATGAGAATAAAGTATTAGAAAACAATTAACAATAAGACATCATTTTGTTTGCCACAATAAGCTTTTCATTCGAACCATAACGGAGATAAAGTTTATATGCAGAACTTTTCCAGTCACCTTGAAGTTGAATTAAATCAGATGGTACACCACATTTGAAAGCCCACGTGGCACCACCCCTTCTAAAACTATGAGTTGAAAATTTACCTGCATCCAAGCCAATACTTGTAATGCATTTTTTCAAAAAGGAATTGAACATATTGTAAGTAACTGGTTTTAAAACACCATTCTTTTTACAAACAAAAGCTGAGGCTGAGTCTGGAACAATAAATTTATCGCACATGGAAACATAGGCCGTAAAAGGACAAAGAGGAGAAGAAGTATTTCTTACAAGTGGAATTTGCAAACTCCTTTCTCAAAATTGTATAGTTTTAGACCAATTAAAATTCACAAGCAATACATTATGTTTTACAAAAATATCCTTCACCTTTAGACATTTCAACGCTCGTGTCTTTGGACTTGGAATTACCCGACATCTTGGCTACTTCTTCCTCTAGTTGTCTTATAATTATCCAGTCTTTCAATTGCTGCTTTTTTAGGTCATCCCTCTTCTTCTCCAAGAGTTGTACCCTCAGCTCCAAATCATCATCCTCACATGTATCTACTTTCTCCTCTTAGTTGTTACGGTTTTCCAGGTTTTTTGAACCCGAGGCCTCTTCCTCATTTTCTGAAGACTGCTCTGAACCAACAACACTTGACACAAACTCTTCCCCAAATTCTTCTTGCTCCTCTGGAGTCAGTGACAAGTCTAGTAAGTCTTCGTCCATGTTTTGCTGAAATGAAAACTGAACAACAGGATCCGTTTTACCAAAATAGTTGAGACTTTTATAATCCCCTCGCGGGACCGATCTTTTAGGTCTACCGTTCATATTAAACGAAGGATAAAACACACACAAAAATGTATACTAAAGTAAGGTAACATTATAAAACTATCACAGTTACATCGCTAGACAAAGTAATATCTATCTAAATTTAAAAAAAATATATTTTGTTGATCGACGCTTCAACAAAGTACTCTAACTCGAATTCGAATGTATATATGCAGAAACTAAATATTCTCTAATAGTAATAGTGTTGATCGACGCTTCAACAAATACAATAAATAAATTAAAAAATGTTCTCAAAACTATCAAAAATTGTTGATCGACGCTTCAACTCAAATTTCAAAAATAATATATAATAAGAACTAAGTGTTTACCGTGTGAAAACAAATCTTGGAGTGAAGTAAAAAGGTATGTAATTTAACAGGTAAACGAAAGTGAGTAGAATTCAACTAATAATCCAATAAGAAAAGTTATGACAAAATCAGGATGACGAAAAGAATGTAGCATTTAAATAAATAAATTCGTTAGGAACAGAAAAAAAATAAAATTCTAGCAAAAATATAAATTTCTTTCTCAGTAATTTATCATTTTTAATAAAATAAAAATTTCCAGTTTAACATCTAACACTACAAGCTATCAGCTATCCATCTTTGTCATTTGCTAGTTGCATTATTGAGCTAATACAGTTAATAATTAAAAAATAATTATTTCAAACATGGGTAGGCATCATATTTGTCAATATCTTTATCCAGCTTAACGGAGGTGAAAAATGTTGACAAATATTATGCAAACCCATGTAAACATGAGCATAGAGCATGGTATGATAGAATTATTTCGATGCTAAAAGGAAAATTTCGAAATCAACCGTTTCACGATATAAAAAAAAAATGACAGATACACGTCAACAGGAAAACTTACTTTTAGAATGATTTTATTTAATTTCTTAACAAAGTTCTGCAAATTCTAAAGTTGGATGACAGTTTTCTCATATATTTCATATAGAATATATTACAAATTTAAAAAGTATTATAAATTCCCATCTCCAATTTTTCATGACTCGAAGAAATATGTTTGTTCGATTTCCTTGGATTTAGATTACACTACTATGGTTTACCTACAAAACAGTCCAATGTTTGCGTAATCCAACAACGGAATATGTATATTTAGTTATTGTATTTACCCTCTCACTTCTCACAAGAATTGTTTCAGAAAATGATGCGAGTTTTTTTTTAACATCAGTTATAAATGTTTTATTGTTCCTTTTAAACTTTTGTAAATGTAAAAGAAATCCACCTCCTGTGTCCATTTCATCAAGGTTCTTCTTGCGTTTTTCGGTATCGCGTATCAGTTCTCGAATCTGACTATCATAAGTAGATACACAGGTGCAAGATGATGCATCTATTTTATTCCTTAGGTCTTCAATATTTTGTAAGGCCTTTTGATAAAATAGACCAATTTGTTTTTCGAAGCTATCAAGGTCTTTCAAGGTGTTTAACTTTATTTGTTTTGAGACTTTCTCTTTATATTCTTTTGTAATCATATGACTCATTTCATTAAGTTCGTCTTCATATTGTTGTTTTATTGAATTGTATTCTGGTCTTAGTTTTATACTAGCATCATGTAAACTAAGAATTTTACAACTCCCGCCTCTGTGAGTTGTGACAGCACAATCAGTGCACAGAAAAACATTATCCTTAACACAAAAATATTCCGCTGGAATTTCAATATGCTTTTCGCATGACGGGACACTAGATTCGTGTAATTTTACTCTCTTTTCAATATCAGCAAGAAGTGCATTTGCTGGAAAACCCTTGGCTATGTCGTCGTCGTTAAGCGCTGAGTTTTGTACTTTCACATTAGTTCTACAACTCGGACATGTAAACGATTGAAACGGTTTACTTCTAAAGAATCCTCTGTTACCTTTGCGAGCCTCGGATATATGTTTTTTTAAACATAATAAGCAGAAACTGTGATCGCATGGTAATTTCCTCGGATCAGTCAAACATTCCAAACATATTGCACATATTAAATGATCTTTAATATTTTTAATATCCCTTGTTGCCATTATTTTTTTGCGATAATTTTTCTGTTGAAAAATTCAACACTTATTTTTGTAATCATCAAAAACAAAATACCAGTATAATTGAATTCATTGTAATACACTCAATAACTTTTTGAAACTATCTACCGTGTCTGATTTTAGATAAATTTTCATACGTTTATTATTGAAACACAAAGCTGATTGGTTTAATACTGATAATCTATGAATTATATATTTATATAATAGTAGGTGTTGGAACGTTTTGTAACACGGTCTCTTATTAAATGAATAGGTATATTACGAAAGGTCACAACTGATTTTGAAGTTTAGCTTTTTATCATTTTTCATCAAATTTTGGCATTTAAAAGCAGTGTAATACTAATTGATTGTATGGATCATGTAACGGTTCATGAAACTCCATTTCAGAATTCTAATTTTTAGAGTCGAATATTAAACAGTTACAATAATTTCGAAACCAATGTGCATGATTGAAAACTCTTACAAAGGGATCATTTTACAATCATCATATATTTCGTTACATACATACATAATGGTGATAATAAAACCTTATTATTAACTATAATTGTTGATGGCACGGGATGCTTAATTAAGTCACGTCATTAGAGAAGAATATTGCCAAACAGGGTAAAAAAGCTTTGTTCGTTTTAGATGTCTGCGAATAGATTTAAATAAGATGATGATCCGCTTGTTGAATTACTGTACGAGAAAACAATGGATACTATTTTTGATAAAGACCTTATTCACTCACAATGAAAATGATGGACGGTTGTTTCACGTCCAGTGAAATGCATATTCAGGGCGACAAAATATTGATGTGATATGAATATAAATCTTTGTATTAGACCGACACACGTAGCCGGAGTTTTAACATGTTAGTTCACAACCAGGCTAACCAGTCTTTGCCCCTTCTCCTAAATGCAGCATGCTTAGCGGAGAAGCAACACATACAAATGTTAAGTCTTTAGTTTGACCCGCGCCCGATGCTTGCACGCTACTACGAGAGGTGGTTTTAAAAGAGGGAAGACTTTGAATGCCATTCAATTAAGAATGTATATATATTTATTTCAATGGGTAATGACAACAATTTTTTGGTTATCAAAATGTATGGAATTGGTAGCTTGTATAACCTGAAGATATATGCCCCGATATTGCTAAATTGAAACACTCACCCCGAGATATATTTGTTTCAAAGGCATAAACATATAACTGAAAGAGAGAACAGTCTGCTAATTTTATTTTTTTATAAAGGCATACAAAAATAACTCAGACTGCCGACTTAGTGAATAACAATTAGAGATAGTGAGGTCGAGGGTGTTTTAAAGATTGAAAATCATAATAAGGCCTCGGGTCCAGACTTGATAAACCCAATATTATCAAAAGAGGCTGCATCACAGATAAAATTCCCACTCTGTAAACTATTTAATTTATCTTTATCTAAAGCTATATTTCCTGCAGATTGGAAAAAGGCAAATGTAACTCCAGTTTTTGTCTCGCTTGGCGGAGTCAAGTAGTGAGACATAGGTAATAAGTTTCCGGCGTTGGCGACGACGGCAGCGACGGCGGCGGCGTCAACAATGTATTAGTTTGTGATTAGGTCTAGTTTGTGGTGAACCACAAGTTGTAGGTCGATCATATTTGGTATACAGTTGTATTAGCATTGGCACATCTCATTTCCATGGAGATTATTTGGCCCTGCCCCATCAGTCATGGTCTATTGACTTTGAAACTTTTGCTTATTTTACATGTCTTAGTTTGTGATTAGGTCAGTTTATGGGGAACCATTAGTGGTAGGTCAATGCTATTTGGTATACAGTTGTATTAGCATTGGCATATCTCATTTCCATGGAGATTATTTGGCCCTGCCTCATCAGTCATGGTCTATTGACTTTGAAACTTTTGCTTATTTTACATGTATTAGTTTGTGATTAGGTCAGTTTATGGGGAACCATTAGTGGTAGGTCAATGATATTTGGTATGCAGTTGTATAAGCATTGGCATATCTCATTTCTATGGAGATTATTTGGCTCAGCCCCCTTAGTCGTGGTCTATTGACTTTGAAAATTTTGCTTAGTTAACATGTATTAGTTCATGATAAGGTCAGTTCAAGGGGAACCATTAGTGGTAGGCCAATGTCAATTGGTATTCAGTTGTATAAGCATTAGCATATCTCATTTCCATAGAAAATATTTGGCCCCGCCCCCTTAGTCATGGTCTATTGACTTTGAAACTTTTGCTTAGTTTACATGTATTAGTTTGTGATTAGATCAGTTTAAGAACTGATAATGTTAAGTCAATGATATTTGGTATGCAAATTTATTGGCATTTGCAAGTCTCGTTTCCATCGATATTATATAACCCCACCCCCTCATGTTTCATTAACTTTGAAACTTTTACATAGTATACAAGTTAATGTTTGTTATTTGGTTTGTTTAAAGGGAATAACTTATGATAAGTCAATGGTATTTGGTAGGCAGTTGCATTAGCATTGGTACATCTCATTTCCATGGATATTGTTTAGCCATGTACCTTCAGTCATGGTTCATTGACTTTGAATATTTGCATAACTTACATGTTAAAGTATTGCTATTTTAATTTCAACATTTGCATTATAAAAATTACAAAAAGGCGAGACATATCTCTGTATTAACAGTTTATTTGGACTCTGGAAAGTTGTCTAATTGGCAATCATACCACATGTGCTTATTTTAAAGATCTGTTAATATCGACCACGATTAATCCAATCTACTTAAAATTCATATATATACTATCTCGCGTGCTCGTATCTTATGATGATAACGAAATCAGAAGTCTACATTATAATTAAACTGCGATTAATCCTGCTAAAACTGAAGTAATGATTTTCTTGAATATTGAGATGCCAGATTTCAACTTTTCCTTAAATGGTTCAAATTTCCCCATAAGTTCTTTAATTGTATCAACTCATTCAGTAGTGACTCAAAATGGAATAGTCATATGGATAGTTTCATTACAAGTGTAAAGAACAATCTAAAGTTTTGGAGTAAAACTTAAATACCGTCTCGAAAGAAAATACCCAATCGTTTCCGCACACGACGGATGCCACCATTGGCGCGGGATCTGGTTACCTTTTCGGAACACCTGATAAGAGCCCGGTTTCTGGTGGGGTTTGTGTTGTTCGATCAGTCTTTAGTTTTCTTTGTGGTGTTATGTAGACTCTGTTTGTCTTTTCGTCGTTTCCTATTTGGGCATGGTGTTGTCTGCTTTTTTTTCGACTTAAGATATTTGTTTTTGCCGTTTCCTTTGCTGCCTTTGGTATCTCCTACCTCTTTTTTGACTGCTTTCAAAGAATGGTCGATTAGGATACGAATTTAGGGATAGGGACCAGAACCATTTTTAGAGATATTGAACTGTTTATTATATAAAGGTTCAGAATCAAAAGCTTATATTATGACCACTGGATCAATGTCGATGCTGGCGGACTGTCAGTTTTCGATAGTCCCGTCTGTATAGGAGCCTGCGGCTCTTTTCACAAAAAATCATAAGAGTAAAAATACTCGTAAGTCATACACATTTCAGTATAACTTACGATCAATTTTAATCGTAAGATTTTTTGTGAAAAGAGTCGCTGGCTTTCGGTGCTGCAAGATTGAAAGATACATTATTTGTGTAAATTTCCACTTTATAAATTATGTAGTTGCATTCAAATATAAAAAGTAATCAAAGAGAAATAATATAATATGGTACGCCGTCTGGCGTTTAATCTGCACGAGACTCGTCACCGATTACAACTCCGTCAGACGATATAACTGTAAAAGAAGTTAGCTATTCTTTTAAGGTCCATCTTAGCTTTGTTGATCTTAAATGTTTTATGTATTCATTACCTAAACCATTAAAAAGGAAGGCTATTCTAGAAAATGTCACCCAGTGAAAGCACTTTAATTGGTATCATGTATAATAATATAATGTTTATGGTGTATTTATTGAACGATATAAAAAGAATTAATTTTAGTTATTATCTTCGTCTGCAATAGGTATGCATATTGTTTTTCAACAATACTGGAATTTGTAGACCTGTTTAAGTCTATAATGACCGTTACCTTGATGATATGTTGCCAAAGATAATCAAGATTTGCAAGCCATAAATTACTTTTTAGTATTTTCATATATATAAAAAAAAGTTGGCTTAGAAGTTCGACTTCAAATGTAAAAATCTTATTAGAAACGGGGGAAAATTTAATACGATCCATGCTTCAAATTTTAAAATAACATTTTTCATGAACCCCATTAAGAAATCGTCATAGTTGGATCTTTGAATATTTTTTTTCATCGGTACTTACACTGAATCGATGTTATGTTTTATAGATACAATGAATAAGCGTTGATTCTTGAAAAAGAAACCATGAGCCCGCATGGCGAATGGTTTGTTTTTCGTGAATCAAGGCTTATTCATTGTATCTCTAACTTAATCTATCGTATTGATGTCTTTTCAAATTAAAGCCTTTTCTTAATTAGAGGTATTGTAAGTGAGTTTGAATAATCATGTTATCATGTTCAACCGTTACGATGCATTAATAAATCTAAGTTCACACTTAATTGGTTTGAGAAATACAAATATAACATAACACGTCTGTCTTTAAAATATCAGGCATCTGAATATCCGAATGAACATTTGTAAAGATATGTAGTAAAACAGATGAAAGCATACTAAATTTATAAAACAAAAATTGACAAATTGAATGTAATTATTTTCTTTGCAGTTACGTGAAATAGCCAATAATAATCCAAAAATAAATGGGAAAACCCGCTATATTACAAACATATCCACAGTCACATGCAAAATAAGAAAAACCGAAAAATTAAAGAATAGGCACAACAAAGAGAATACAGGGATTCGAACCTTAACCGACAAGTCTCTACCTTTAACTTTACTCTTTAACTCATTGATATTAACTATGTTAACCTCGCGGCTACCAACTTATACAATCTGATTATCTATTATACATACATAAAGGTACAAGCCCTGTGTGTCCGTTGTACTGACTTGTAACATAGGGCATTGCTCATTTATGTACTAGTATATATAAACTAGACATTTAAATCGCAACCCATT